AGCAAAGCTATCATTTACAGGTGAAGGACAGATAAAGAGCTTCCCAGACAAAAATAAGCTAAAGGAATTTATCACCACCAAGCCAGTATTAAAGGAGATGTTGGAGAGACTTCTTTAAGTCCCTTTATTCCTGTATCAAAAACTGGAATAAAGAATGGTAACAACTACCTTCCTATCAATAAGTACCTTAAATGGAAAAGAATTAAGTGCTCCAACCAAAAGATAGAATGGCTGAAAGGATAAGAAAACAAGACCCCTACATATGAAAAGGAAGGAGATGGAAAAAGATATTGCTTTGATGGACCTAGAAGGTATTTAAGTCAGACAGAGAAAGATAACACTATATGATTTCACTTATATGCAGAATCTAAGGAATAAAAAGAACTAATCCAAAAAAGTGGAAATTTGGACACAGACATGTTCAGAGAGAATAAGATATGAAGACACAGGCAAAACAGCTATCAACAAGCCAAGAAGAGAAGCCTGGAACAGATCTTCCTTCAGTGTCCTCAGAGGCAACCCGCTAACACCTTGAACTTACAGCCTCTAGAACTGTGAAATAAGACACTCAGTCAGTCGTCATACTTTGTTGTGGCAGCCCTAGCAGACTAATGCAAGTAGTAAGTATAAAACAGCTTAGAACATGATTGAGAAAATGAGCCATATATGACAGTATATGCTTTAAAAAGAAAAACAAGTGAAAGGTGAAAGTAATAAAAACTGTAGTGTTTTAGAAGAGGGCATATGGTCCCTATGAAGCCCCCAGGTACATCTTCATAAAGCATATGGAATTTGAGTTAAGCATGTGTAAGGTAGGTAGACAAGAGCACATGAGGATATTCAGGTCAGAAGGTGGGAAAGGATTCATTTAACAATTACTTATTCATCTACCATGAGCCAGGCACTGTGCTAATGAGTCTAATGAACAGAAAGGACACACTCTTTGCCACTGGGTGCATGCAGCCTGAGAGGATGGAAGTAGAAATTAACAGAATTGTTTGGGGCACCAGCACACACACAAGCAGCATTGGCACAGAGTCAAGTTCTGTCTCTCTGGAGCACTTGTTATATATGTAGTATGTGATAAAGCATTTGATTTTGCTCTATGATTATTTCATAAAAGTGATTTGTCATTATTAGACATTTTCAGTTAGCTGGATCTCCTCCTGTATTCCGAAGATTGCACAGGAATCTAGATTCCGTGCTTCTCAAAGACAGCTATATTGCCTGTCCGTTCTTATTTCTCTCATTTTAACAGGTGCTGTGCAATGCAGCCAGAGTTGATGACCCTGCATCCGGTTTTCCTGGGCTGCTCCCACCATCAACACATCTCTGACATCCAGCACTTTGCGATCGAGGCCCATCCCTGTGGGCCTGCCTCTTCCGGCACTCTGTCTGATAGTAACTTCTCTTGTTGCTCTTATAGGTGGTGACAATGCCAGAATATTTGAGGAAGAGGTTTGGTAGCTCCCGGATCCAGTTCCTCCTCGCTATTCTGTACTTATTCCTCTACATCTTCAATAGGGTCTCAGTAAGTTGTGTTAAAGCCACCCAAAAAAGATAACAAAACAAAGAAGAATCAGTAGGCAGGACTATGCTAGATTTGTCCCAGCAGATCATTCTAGGGCCCCATAAATTACTTGTTGGTCTCTGCTGTCTTACCTTGAATAGAGAAAAATAGCTTAATAATACTGTGTAAAAAATAAAAGGCAGAGGCATCTTCTCTGCCTCCCAGGATGGGGTTATATGTCCTTCTTCTGTGTTCCCAGAGAACTTTGGGCTTACCCATGTCATATCATTAGGTAATGTCACTCCCCTGCTTAAAACAATCCAGAAGTTCCCATTGCCCTGACAAAAAAAATAAACTAAACTAAACTAAACTAAACTAAAGTCCTTCTTATGACTGGTAAGGACTATCTTGTTCTAGCCCCTGCCTCTCTGTCCTTGTCCCCTCTCCTATAGTCACCATGCTGTAGCCGCACTGTCTGCTTTATTGTTTCTCAAATCCAGCAAGCTTATTCCAACTTAAAGCCTTTGACACCTGCTCTATAGTGTGTCTGGAATGTTCTTTCCCAGATTTTTCAAATATCGCCTCCTTGGAGAGGCCTTCCACGGATGTGCTGGTCAATCTCTACTCCATTACTGTTTTTATTTTCTTTGTCACCATACAATAGAAATTTATTTGTTTCCTTATTTTCTGTTTTCTCCACATTGGTGCAAACTTTTTGAAGCTTAGAGACTAGCCTGGCTTGTTCACTGCATTGCCTTCTGTGCTGAGAACACTTTTATCACATAGGCACTCAATAAATACTTTTTGAATTATCAAATGAATGTCACTTATTGCATGGAAATTGCCAATTTAGTGGTCTGTCTCCCTCATTAATTGTAAGCTACTTGAAGACAGGAACTAAGTTCTGGTAACATCTGTGTCTCCTAAACCCTGCTAAATACCTACTACATGGTTGGTACTCAGTATTACTAACATTTGGTAAATAAATGGATAGATGAGTGTTGGGAGAATCTCTGCCCATTATATCCCTGACTTTGGGGACCAGAATAAAAAAGCAAGAAGTTATCCTTTTAAATGATGTGCAGATGCTTCAGAATCACTGTCAACTAAGCCAGGGATCAACAAATCAAGCCCACAGGCCAATCCTCCTGGTGGTCTGCTTTGTAAAGTCCTTAAGCTAAGAATGGTTTTTATGGTTCTAAAGGGGTGTAAAAAACAGACCATATGTGGCCTACAAAGCCTACATTTACAATCTGGCCCTCTATAAAAAAAGCTTGCCAACTCCTGATAAACTGTTCCCTTTGCCTTTTCTCAATGACAGAACTGCAGGAACAGCTCTCTCTCAGCACACTCCCCACTCAGGCGTCAAGGAGGAGGAGGCTAAGTTGTATTAACTGGATCAGTTGAGTTAACCCAAGCCCTAAAGGTGCTGACCTTGGCTGAACTCGTGGGGCACAAGCCTGTTGAGTAACCCTCACCCAGTGTCCACTAGTGATGGAGTGGGTGTGCTAACCGCAAATGGCTTCTAAGACGAGTGTTTTTATGGGATTGCTGTCAATTGAGCTAAAAACGAAAGTACAGACTGCGCCTTTACACTCATTTCAGGTGGAGATCAGCACTAGTGCCATGGTCATGGGGCTGATTTTTGGATGGGATGTTTACCAGGCCACCATATTCTTGCTGATATTTATTGGCATTTATACCATCACAGGTGAGATTACTCTAACCACACAGGTATTTATATTGACTTGAAAACTCTGCCTCTTAATGGTATCCTGGTAGACATTGAAGCAGGAGTCTTCAGCTTTTGCATTTTCTCTGAGTCTGTAAATCACATTCCTGAGGCCTGGGGATGGAGAGAACAGTGAAAATAATCAAGACAGGGTATCTAAGTGAAGTCTTACCCCTAGAAATCAGATTGGGCTCGTGGGGGCTTTCCAAGGGAGCCGGCAGGATGGCAGTAATTGTGTTTGGGGTGGGACTGGGCCTGATACAGCAGGCTGCCAGGCAAAAGAGTGGGAGCACAGAAAAGGAAGGAGGAAGAGGCGGCAGCTTCAGGCCATCCTGCTCACCTCTAATAACCTGGTCTGGCCATCAGATGGGATCTTTTATGTAGGCAGTTCAGTCCTAGACAACCTCTGCCTAGGTTTTGAGAGTGAGTGCTCTCGTCCTATGTTTTGTTCAGCAATAGCTCAGTTCATTACAGTTGAGTGGAGAGAATCAGGGCTGGGAATGGAATGCGCTCACTCAGTGGTTCTCAGAGGTGGGAATGGGGATTGGGTTTTCCTTCCCAGGAGACATTTGGTAATGTCCAGAGACATTTTTGGTTGTCACAATTGGAGAGGTCTATATTGACATCCAGCAGGTAGAGACCAGGGATGCTACTATTGCTTCCAAACTGAGATTTTAGGAAAACTACTAGGTTTATTTTCCTTAGGAAAACTACCATATTTTCATTTATCGAAAAAATTGGATTTAAAGAGAAATTGGGACATAGAAGGGCAAGATAAGAATCCAACAAAGGATCATGAAGGATATTAAAGAGAGAAAACAGGATTTACTGAGACTAAGCATAAATAGTTATAAGACCCACTGAATTAAAGGGAAAAAAGGTGTGAATGTGGATATCTAGGCGAGAACAAGTATGTAGAATAGGATGCCAAAGCAACTTTCAGTGAAAAGAGTCAAATGTGGCTTTTTTACTTTCTCTTGCTTATTTAGGTGGTTTTGCAGCTGTGATTTATACTGATGCCTTACATGCTGGCGTTATGGTTCTAGGATCAGTCTTGCTAATGGGCTTTGGTAAGTAAATCTTGAGAAGACTGAGCACCATGGGTGGAATCTTTGAATCTGATTGCTGCCCGGGGCCATTTCAGCACCTTCATCTCACAGATGAGACAGAGGCCTTCAGGACCCAAGAGCATTATCTAAGGTCATGCTGAAAATTGGAGAGGAAACTTCTGCTCACTTGAGAAGAAAAGAGTCAAGGAATAGGAGAAATGGTAACAAACTCTAGTGCTTTGGAACAGCAGTCAAGAGCGGTCTGCCACTCTCATCCCCACCTCTGTGCCTCTGTTTATGCTCTTCCTCTCCAGTTAGAAGCCCCTCTCCTTTTTGTCCACTCAATTAAACCCATCTGTCATGGTCAATGGAAGATCCTCTCCAAAGCTGTGATTCTTTGATTATTCCATCTGCACATCTTTCTTCTCTGGGCTTGCATCACTACCACTCAACATTTTTTGATGCATACCTTGATTGTTCATTGATTGTGTCACATGAATGAAACATCCCCCAGGTCCAAAACGTCTTAAGAACCAGAGCCATCCCTCATACAGTGCAGTCTGAGGCACATAGTAGGTTATTCATTCATCTAAAAAAAATGAGAAGTAAAGGGAAATTGGGACATAAAAAGGCATAAGAATTTAACAAATTATTAAGTAACAAAAATGAAAATAATAGCTGATATGTATTATCAGGTACTATGTAAGCATTTATCTATATTGCCGCTTTAATCATTACAGTCACCATGAGGCATAACTACTGTCGTTAACCTCATTTTACACATGAGGAAACTGAGTCTCAGCTAAATAACTTGCTTGCAAGATACACTAAGAGCAGAACTCAGAGCTGGGTCTCTGTAACATCAAAGCCCAGTACATGAACTAACATATTGTAGTACCTGTAATAGCAAGTACACTTACCTTAAAATGGAAGTTTCCTTCTACTAGCTAGGAGTATGACCTTAGTGAGGTTGCTATTACCCACTGCTTCATGAGTAAGAGATTGGTCTTGGCTCAGGTATTGAAAAATTACTGAAATGATATGTGAGTACAATTGAAGCAGAATCATTCCATAGAGCATGTTATTGAACCCCATGGAATGAGAAAAGATAGAATCTAACAGAATCACACAATCCTCAGTTTTACCACTCAGTAAGCATTAGTGCACCATGAAGTATACTCAATATGATGTTGCTGGGACACAAAGTACATATCAGGCATGATCCAAAGAATTTTTAAATGAGCTGAGAAGCAATGACTATTTGACAAAACTATAAACTGTAAAATGCACTAAGCCATTGTATTTAATTGTGTGCTAGTGTTAAACATCAACATTTTTAAAACCTGCCAAGTCTACCCAAATAGTTGAAAATGACATCAAATTAAACTTTAGGGGCTGGTAAGATATGCTATATAATGTTAGCAATGATATTTCTAAATAATTATATGATCTTTACTGTTATAGACTGAGTGTCCGTGTCCCCCCAAAATTTATTAGTTGAAATCCTAACCCCCAATGTGATGGTATATAAGATGGGGGCCTTTGGGAGGCTCTGCCCTCATGAATGACATTAGTGCCCTTATAAAAGAGACCTTAGGGAGCTCCTTCACCCCTTGTATCATGTAAGGACACAATGAGAAGATGGTTCTCTGTGAACCAGGAAGTGGGCCCTCACTAGACACCCAGTTGGCCAGCACTTTGATCTTGACTTGCCAGCCTCTAGAACTGTGGGAAGAAATTCGTTCTTTATAAGTCACCCAGCCCAAACAAACTAAGATATTTCCTGAGAAGTTTAATGAGATTTTGAACTTGGGGTATTCATGTTACTTCTTTTATTAAGTAAACTATTATAAAGTAATGGAGTAATTGTTTTCTTTTAAAATATACAAAACTTGTACATCCAAATGAGTGTTGCCCTTTAAACTTGTCACAATGGGAACCCATGCACATAAACAATTTTTTTTATTTTTAGATAATATATACACAAGCTAAACAAAACAATAGGGTACACTGTGAAATACTTGTTGCCCTCAGTTTCTCAGTTCGAGTCCCCAGACAACTAGTATTATAAGTATTGTATATATCCTTCCAGAAATAGTCTTCATATATATAAACATTTTTTAATATATATAAACATTTAAATATTCTTCATAT